TAGAGAAGTAAACCCCAAAACCCCAAAACCCCGCGAGTCTTTAAATAGAGTTAAATAGAGATTTAAGTTATGAAATCAAAATAAAATTATTCTTGTACGCAAATAAATATTATCAATCAACGATGTGCGATTTTGAAGTTAAATTTTTGAAGTTATTTTCTGTTTACTTCTCTATCAATATTTTGTATTAATTCATCAATGGGATTTGCATTTCTCAAATGAATCAAGGAAATTTAATGATCTCTGTAAGCCTTTTTCTCTGAAAAGTATCTTGTATCTCTGTCTATTAAGAAGTCAAAATTTACAGATTTTTTCACATTCTAATGGCTTATTCTCTTGTCCTTCAGCTACTATATTATAGCCTTTGTATCTCTTTTAATAATTGGAACTGAATCATTTCCCTCATCTCCGTTTGATGAAGACGACTAGTCAAGCTATTCCAAGTTTATCTTTACATTAGCCATTGTCTTAACATGATTATTACTGAATGAATGCTTTCTTATTGATTATTTAGGAGAGTCTCTGACGCTACTAGGCTGAGAACTTAAGAAGTTTGTTTTTTTCTTCTTAACTTATCTTTTAATTTTTTCATCAAGCTTTAGCCTTATCAAATCAATCATGCTCACTGCATGTTCTCCATTAGGACTTAACTCACTTCTTTATTTGACGAAATTAGTTAGCTAAGATAGCTTTTTAAGCCTGCTTACTTTATATTAGTCTCCGCTTTCCTTCATTGTGTTTATAACTTGAATAGCCATATTTCTATTTCTCTAATCTTCTTCCATTCTCTTAAAAAAATCTGGAGTTTTTTAAGATTTTTTGTTTTTTGCCAAAAAAGCATTGTATCTTTTCTTTATAAACTTGTCTGATGATTTCATAAGTAAGGAGTTTATGTATTTACTAAATTCCTAGATTTCTTAGTCACTTTATTTATTTGAAAAAGTAGGATTATTAGAGGTGTAAACATTCTAAGATTTCCCTTAAGACCTTGAGCTTTTAGCACTTTATGCTCCAATTCTAAATTAGGGTGATTATTAGTGCTTTCTTTTTTATTTCACTGAATTCTAATTGCTACTAGTTGAATTATTTGATATTGAGTCTCGAGCTGAGGCACTTACTGACTAAGGGGTTTAACTTATAGGAGTAGAATGACCATGATTTCTCAAATGCAATCCAGGTTGAGGTTCTTTAGCTTCATACCAATCGTTTAATAACTTCATAATTTTCTTAAATTAAATGTTATCTGCAATGTGGAAATGCTTATTGTTTCCTGTGCTATTGATAACAGAATTTGAAAAATCAGGCGACTTTTGCATGTGTGATCTTTATGTTGTAATATGTGTTGATTACTCACTAAAATCAATCTCATTCCCTCTAGCTATCCTTTATATTTCAATCATCAATTGATTAAATTTTTCACCATCTTCACCTTGTTCTCTAACTCTGTCTTGGATTTTATCACTAATTTCTCTCATTGTTTCTTATTGATTTTTCTCTTTGTTTCTTTGGATTAAGGTCTTTCTTTCAGAAGTAAAGTTGTAGAATTTGCAGAGATGACTTGCGAGAGATTTATAAGCATCATAACTTAGTCCTATTTGATTTAGAGATCTTTCCATCTCATTATTACTCTTTTTAAGTTATTTTAAATAAGTTTTATTAGTAAAAGTAGCCATTAGCGAAGACATAACTTAATCTTTATTTAACTTTGAAATAGGATTTTAATTTTGATTTCTTCTTTCAAATTATTTGCTTATTTGAAGTAGTTTGAACTCCTCCTCATATTCCTTATTAAGACCCTTCCTCATTAGCATTTCTTTTTTAAAATTGTCTGATTCTATTTATTTATGCGCTTCTGGGTCTAATTTTACTATCTTTCCCTCATTCTTTTATTTCCAATATTCGATAACATCCATTTCATTTCTGCCTAAATTCATAATTTATTCTTTCTATTTAATATCAGCCATTTTACCTACTTATTTACCTAGAGCTTCTTCGAATTTATCTTTCAAATTGAGTGAATTCAATGAAGGAGTAGCAACTTGAGACTTTTTAGGGCTTGATAATTGTTCTGAAAGTTTTTATTTCTTCACTTTCTTTTCTTTTTCTCCACTAAGTTAAGTAAGATCAAGCTAAAGTTTTCTTGAGACATCTTTTTTACTAACTGGTGATTATAAGTCTTCAATTTTTGTCAAATTAAATAAGTTATCTTTTGAACTAGGTGTAAGGATATCTCTTTGATTAAAATTTTTAATTGGGGATAGATTTATATTAGTACTCAAGTTTTTAGTAGTTTTTTAATCAAAAAGATCAATATTAGGCATTAACATCATACTCTCAAGTCTTATCAATGGCTTTTTTGTCTGCTATTAAACTTAATTTTAAAATGACTAATCCCCATTTTATACTAGTTTACTAAAATTCATTTGCTAATTTTAGATATTTGAAAGTTCAGTCCCAGAAAATCTTCCAAAAATCGTTTTTCTTCTTTCAATATTAGTCGTACTATCCCATATTTATGATACTGAAAGTCTAGTATTTGCCAAGCTTTTTCTATTTATAGATTATTACTGGTATTTTAAGTCTTGTTCTTAATCAAGTTAACTCATCATTGCAGGACTTCGAGATTTTTGAGAGAAAAATCCTTCTTCTTTTTCAAGTACTTTGTCAACTAAATTTTAAGGTCTCTTAAAGTTATTCGATAGAGGTAATTCATTTCTTGAGTCTATTTTTGGTTTTATATTCTTAAACTTGTCCCGATTGCTTGGACTAAATCCGGGGCTCTACATTTTGTAATCCCCGAAAGTTTCTTCAATTATACCCTCTAGATGCTTTGGAGAACTTTGAAAACTTTCTTTGTATGTTTTGTTATTATTTTCATTCATAAGCATCTGCTTCTAAATATTTTCAATTTATTCTTAAATCAATATGCTAGTCTCCATCATAAATCTTTCTGCCTTGCTTACCCTTCTTTTATTATATGGAGAATTAGGACAACTTGGAAGTTGCAAATAAGACTTCATGTTTTATGTGTTAGATCTTATAGTGCCAGATTAAGGGCCTAAATTACTTTTATTGAATATATCTGCATTTGAGATTTTCAGAGCTGTTAAATTTATATTATTCCTTCTAATTAATGGTGGTGGGAGTACAATTTGGCTCTTTCTTAATATAGTGTAATTTTTAGGTTCTTGCTAATCTTCTTCAGTAGATTCTGAGAATAATGCTATTTTATTTACAACCACCTTATTGTGCTGAACCGAATCTCGCTTTTTTCCTTACATACTTGTAGTAGATTCCTAAGCAGCTGTGGTTGTTGTTGAAGATTTAATATTTGATCATGACTTTGAATTTTTTCTCTTTTAGTCTTCTCTAAATTATAAAAACTCAGCTTGTTTCATTATAAATTCTCTCTGATTCTTAGAACTCGAGAGATTAAGCATTGGCAAATTAGACATTGAATGTGTAATATATAAATTAAAAATAAGTTACGAACATTAATCACTTTAATCACAAATAATAATTTCATATTTAATTTTTTATTTCTTGAGATAATACTAGATTCATTTAAATTTTTCCTTTCGGGGTTTTGGGGTTTTGGGGTTTTGGGGTTTTGGGGTTTTGGGGTTTTGG